CTTGGCTTTCAGGGCTCCAAAACGGACCCTTCCTTGTTCATTTACTCCCACAGGGGCACCATTTTGTACATGCTAGTCTATGTTGATGACATTCTTTTGACAGGAAACAACCCGRAGGCTATTGACAAAGTGGTACAACRTCTTAGCCAATCTTTTGYTGTTCAGGATATGGGTYGCTTGTCTTATTTTCTCGGTATTGAAGTGACCAGTCAGGGTCATGATATGATTCTATCACAACGGAAATACATCCTTGAACTCTTGCAACGCGCAGGCCTGTCTAATGCTAAACCGACTTCATCTCCTATGACTACTAATGTTAATCTTGCTCTTGGTGATAGCGTTACGTTTGCTGATCCGGTCAAGTACCGCCAAATTATGGGTGCCCTTCAGTATGTGACATTGTCTCGTCCGGATATTACTTTCGCGGTCAACAAAGTCTGCCAATTTATGCAGTCCCCCACTGAAAATCATTGGACGGCAGTCAAACGAATTCTTCTTTACTTGCAAGGCACTGCTGACTATGGTTTACGAATCATGCATGATTCAGGCACAATCCTTCATGCCTACACTGATTCTGCTTACAACTCCCTAACTGGCTTCTCCGATGCTGACTGGGCTAGTTGCCCTGACGACCRTCGATCCACTGGGGGATATGCTATTTATCTTGGTTCAAACCTAGTATCATGGTCTGCACGAAAACAAAGGACTGTCTCTCGATCATCAACAGAGTCTGAATACAAAGCTCTAGCCGATACTGTTGCTGAGCTCACATGGCTTCAAACACTACTGCGCGAACTCCGGGTTCCTGTGAAGTCGGTTCCTACCTTATGGTGTGATAATCTTGATGCTACGTATCTTTCAGCTAATCCTGTATTTCATTCCCGTACCAAGCATGTAGAAGTTGACTTTCACTTTGTTCGAGAAATGGTTGCGCAACGGAAGCTTTCAGTTCAGTTTATATCTACAGATGATCAGATTGCAGACGTGTTTACCAAGCCGCTACCTTCACAACGGTTTCTCCTATTACGGTCCAAGCTACAGGTCGCTCCCCGGCCTTAGCTTGCGGGGGAATATTAGACAATTAAGTGTGATATATATATATACATATATAATTATATTAGAGGGTCTAGAGTGTAAATGTATCTCTTATATATATCCCTGATTGTAATCGGTATACACACACGCAATTACCAAGTTTATCTATAGCCAAGGCTACAACTTGGTTATACGTAGGCGAAAACAGGGGAAGGGGCCAGATTTATCCTGACGGGAGCAAGAGTAACGATACAGTTTATATGAGTTGTTTGAAGGGTGACTATCAGAAAGAACATGCATGATGCACCACAAGAGATGCATGCAAAAGATGGGAGCTGCCACCAAGATATACCCAAGTAGTGATGAAAGGAACCACCTCCCCCAACAAATTCAAGAGCAAGATTATCTATCATCTACCATAAAATAATATTTGGAACCTAACTCTTTAGATGAAATGCTGATTTTCTATGAATTTTGACACAACTATTGGTAGGTATTTTAAGGACACCAAGAATCACAATGAATAAGCCAGAACTGGTAAAAAGATTGTAGAACCTCCTTAAGCTCTTCAAGCTTTTGCTTCCGTAAGCAATGCAAAAAGTCATGCATAACTTGCAAATTTGTCTCAGCTTCTTCTTGCTCCATTTTTCTTTTCTTCTCAGCAAGAAGAACCAAGAGGATGTTCAGCTCCTTGACCGACACATCACATCCCTGTCTAAGAGAGAAGAGAGTCATGTTTCTATAGAAAAATAGAAACTTCACTGCCACTTAAGGTCAAATCCAATTGATATTTTATCACAACATATGGATGTCATCTATAATTTCTTTTAAGTTTCTTAGTACATATGTATTATGTTGGTAGAGATAAATGGAACAACTTCATTAAATATTACTTGTTAAAAGAAGGGAGAATCATTTCATAAATATACCTTTAATTAATCCATCTCTAATGCAAAAATGGAACAGAATTCATTACGGATTACTTGCTATAGAGTTATGCATCATGAACTCATCTCTGGTTTGTGTCTGTAATTTTTATGTTGAAGCTAATAATTCACTAAATCCACTAACCATATTATTGAAGTTCCCTTTTCTAATTAAAAATGTATACATAATGGAAATAATAAACAGAAAAGCTCGGGTTGTACTCTGTAGTGAAGCCACTATAAAAGTATAATATATAACTCAGCTCCATGATACACTTGAAATGCTGATGGTTGGTTCAGAATCCTGACTGCTTTACACCAAAAACAAACCGTGACTGGTTTGATCAATTATTCTCTGAATGCAAATGTTAACTAAATACTATATATGTTAATCAAACTACCACTTCATTTTCAAGAAAGTAGCGTAAGACTATGCTGATTTGAATGGTTCTAATATTGGAAAAAAGTTCAAATATATGCCCTGGAAATATTTGAGCTCTCTGGAATATAAACTTGCACAACTAAACTATTTGCATGCTAGAGGAGTGAAATATTTTTAAAGTGCCATTAACACAATAAGCATCTCAACCAGATGAAAATTTGAATTGACGTGGTTACAATAGCTGTTCAATAACTGACCTGCTGAAGTGCTTGACGAAGCTGTTCAGTAGGAGAAGCATGTTTTGCTATTTGTGCTGAAGCCTTGATCAATAGCTGCAAAAATTCCAAAAGGCAGAACATAAACAGCACATTATACTTTGTTGGTTGCATAATCCTGCCCATAAGTAATTAGATGGCTCTTAAGAAAACCAAGTTTAGCTCTTTGAAGTTTTATACAACTTCTTCTTTAATGATTGTAGAGATATCATACACCAAGAACGTCATGATACTTCAACGATTTCGACTACGGGGAAAAGTTATCTTTTGATTAGTGTGGCTGAGCAAGGCAATGGAGGCTCTATCTTCCCAATTGCACATGATGGAAGAAGAATCTTCACTACAAAACTTATGCTTGCAAACAATAATGTTGTTCAAATATGGCCATCACAGCATATATTTTTCACGAGATAGCTTTTTTACTGCCAAATCAATGTCATGTTGGAGTAACAGTGGTTTGAACCAATGTAAATAAACCAGTAAGACCTAACACCCACAGCAATAAAGAATAAGATACAAAGTTAGTGGTATATCCCTCTGTTGACACAGTGAAAGGTTACTTAGTTTGGCTTGTAAATAAGATCAACACCAACTTTGTTTGAGAACACTATGTAGTGGACTGAACTATTCCCTCAGTATCTTCCTATTTGTTATATATTCAGCTTCCGCTTTCTCCTCATAGATGATTCCAACAAGAATACATCCCTGATTTACCTCCATCTTAGGATTTAATAGCTTGAGGTTACTCTCTTTTGGCACACTAATGAACCATATAGGATACATTTGCATCTTATGTACGTATACACAGTCGCAAATTTAGATTATAAGGTTTATTAGATAAATACTTGTCAGAAAGATAATGTTGTTTTGCATAAGCAAGGAACCAAACTGCGCCACGATGTAGCAAGTTATATTCCAAGCCTCATGCCTGTGTCACGTCAGCATTAGGGTACTAAAATAGATATTTTTCAAATGATAGACCCTTAAATGGGGATTTTGAAAAATGATCCTCCAAAATAGGAACCAGACCAAAAGTATATTTTATTTCCATGCATTTTGTCCATAATGGCATCACCTCAACAATGCAACAACGAGTGTTCCTGTAGATGGCTATATATAGAGTAATCATAATGCCCCTAAAGTATAATTCGCATTAATGAAACACAACCTTTAGCTTGTTTTGCATCATAAGTGTTTTACCATTTTATTATAGGGCTTTAAGAATAAACAATGCTCAAGTAAGTTCTTACTACTCGGCCTAAGTGGTGATTTTTCAATAGCATGTACCATAATCCTAAAACATTCATTTTGTATTACTCATATTCAAATTAGAATAAACATACATATGTTCCTTGGTATAATCCCACATGCTTAGTGAATATGGTTATGTGTTATGCCATTATATAATGGGAAATAAAGAGTTAGAAAGACCTTGTTATACCATCAGACCTAAGACCCATCACCTAACTGAATAAAGAAAGAATATAATACTCAATTACCAAGGACACATTACCAATCGCCTAACCCTCTGAAAAGATCATACAAGCATACAACTACCTATGTTCAAGTCAATAATATGTAGATTATAGATAATTGACAACTTTAACCAGCTGGGAACAAGCAAAAAGTTAAAAAATTTCATTCCCTAAAAGCTGCATCCTCCATCTCATGGCAATGATACATACTGGGTCATAATGTTTCTTTACTACGTTCAAAATTTGACTATAGTAAGCTATCGGAAATTCTATGCAACAAAAAAGATTAATTAAATTCAATCGATTTTTATTTTCATTTGGGAAAACATTAGCTTTGGAGTTCAAACACTAGCTTTTCTCCATTATTCTTCATGTTGTCTCCGTACAAATAAATGCATGACATCTAAAAGTATCATTTATGCAATCGCCAAAAAATTGAACTCTGAACTTGTCAAGCTGAGGGACCACAGATTTCATACATACGACTGATACAAGTGCAAGTGGTGGCTACTGGCTACAGACAATTTTTTAGGTCCATAGAATTGAAAGATAACAAATTACCTTATTAAGCAAAAAATTAGGAAAAAGCTGCTTCGTGGTGAGATAACTAGCACAAGATGGACAATCGCTCTTGTTCTGAAGATGCGTCACAATGCACATGTAACAGAAACTATGACCACATGCTGTTAAAAAGGCATCCTTGATTATCTGCATGCATATCGGACACAATACATCTTTATCCGTCTCCACCTCCTCAGAACCTTCCTCCCTAACCTCCACTCCCGCCCAATCCGACGCCGGAACCTGCGGCGGTTGTGGCTGATGAGACACCGGTGGTAGTGGTAGTGGTGGTGGTGGTGGAAGTGGAGCAGGAGCTGGTATCTCCGTTGACGGTTCAGGCAGTCCAGACTTCATCGACGGCACAATCGCTCCTCCGATTGAACCACCTCCACCTCCCATAACAATGTTCGCAGTTTCTCTCAATAAAAACGCACTTTCTCTCTCTAGAAACAGTCTGGTTTCTGAAGAATGATCCGAGAGGTTTCGCTTTTACGCAGAGAGAGAGAGAATTTGTGTGTTTATTTGTATGGGTGGAAATTGACCACGTTAGGCGCGCGTTTTAAGTTTTGTTTTTTGTTTTTCTTTTCAGTAAATTAAAGTTTTAGTCCCTATAGTTTCTTAAAACTTATGGTTTTAGTCCTTACGGTTTCTTATTTACGGTTTTAATCCCTATAATTTACAATTTGTTTTTATTTTCTTTTTGAAAATTACGTTTTTTGTCCTGATGGTTCGTTAAAAATAGTGATTTTTGTCCCCGTGGTCCAAAAATTGTGGTTTTTATCCTTATGGTTTATAATTCATTGTTATTTTTGTTCTTATGATTTACAATTTATTGTTGTTTCAGTTTTTGTAGTTTAAATTTTTTATTGTTTTGGTCCACTGAGGTTTTAAATTTTTTATCTAGTAAGCGTTTACCAAGTAAGAGTCGTTACTCTCACTTACCAGGCAAGCCTCTCGGGGCAAGACTCTCTGTTTTTTTTAATCATTCTTACCGATTAAGATTCTTAATCATTGTCATTTTCATCCAATAAGGTAAAGTAACTCAGTACACATTTACCAGATAATCATTTAGTAAATGAACCCTAAAATACCAGTGAACTCTAAAACTATAAGGACTTAAACAACTATAAATTTTAAATCATTAGAACAAAAATAACAATGAATTATAATTAAAGGAACATAAAATCGTATTTCAAAATCATAAGAGACGAAAATAACAATTTTCAACAAACCAAACGGGTGAAAACCGTAATTTACTCTTTTCTTATATTTTACATTAAGAACCCTTTAGATTCTGAGAAAGTTATATTTGGTCCTCTTTCCACTTGTCTCCATTGGTGGGATATTTTGGAACACATGATAAAATAATAAATAAAGACCAGTTTATTAAATATATAACTAAACTACGATTTTAGTCCCTATAGTTTGTTAAAATTACGACTTACATCCAGTACTTTCAAAATTATGGTTTTTGCCCTTTTAGTTTGTAAAGAGGAGCATGATCGAAGTGTAGCCAACATTCTTATTGCTATTTTTATACAATAAGAATGTTAACTTATTTTTTGTGTATATTTTTTTTATTAACATGGATATCCAACTTGTTAAGCGAGCCGACTAATCCTAGGGCGACAATCTGTTTTGCAGATAGCCCGGAGTCACCGCATTTGAATCTATGTGTAGGGATGGTAATGGACCCCGACCCGTCGGGTAACCCGGTCCACCCTCCCCGATCGGGGACGGGGAATCCCCGAAAAATCGGGTCCCGGGGACGGGGACGGGGATCCCCGCTTGGCACAATCCGGGGATGGGGACGGGGACGGGTATAGCACTCCCCGCCCCACCCCGTACCCGTTATTTATATATATGTGTTTTATAGGAATTTGGGCTTTTGACTTTGGGCTTTTGCTGTAAAATATGTTATGAATGCATCCTTTCCTTGATTCCTTCCTCAGCCCAATCCACACAACACTTATCTTTTCCCTCCAAGACCTCCACGTCCACTCACGATACGCACCAGTCACGACTTAGTACTCACGACGACGCTGCATGCTGCTCTCCTCTCCACCACGACGTTGCTGCCTGCTGCTCTCTTCTCTCCTTTTCGACAGGCCGTCGGCGACGGTGACAGTCCGACGGCGACAGTCCCACGGCCTCTCCCTCTCGGCCTCTCCCTCTGGGCTCTCCCTCTCGGCCTCTCCCTCTTGGCTCTTTGGTCGGTTATATTTCACACCTTCAGACTAAAGAAATTGGGCCATAAAGCAAGTATACAAAATAGCCCAACGTCATCTTTTCCAAGTAATAAGTGGTACAAGTACCGGATTATCGTCCACAGGGACTGTAGCTAAAGTTAAATTAGAGTTAAATAAAAGAGATGATTTCAGATGGCGAAAACGAAGACTTTAGTTGAGTTCAAGTTAACACAGGTAATCAGAATAATAAACAGAATAATAAAGGTAGCACGGGTGTAAGATTTGGGGTGAAACGTAAACA